TCAAGATTTCTAACACTTTTTCCTCCGGCTTTAGATGGATTAACTAATTGCATCAATATCGTTTCAATTAACTCAAAGAAAGAAGAAAAAACATAGACAAATCAGTACATTATTAGTTAGTTCAATACCAAGATTTATAAGATCGGGTTTAAATGTAAAACTATGTTCACTCGTTAAGAAAAGTTTATAATGTTTTGATATATAATTGTGAAATTTAAACATAAAATTTAGTATTAAAATTTTCAGAGACTTTTGATGAATTCCATAATTTTTCAATTAACTTTAGAATTTAGTCTGTTTGCTTAATTATTTCAAAAGTTTTGACTTAGTATTGAAAATTGATGATCAGTTATCATATTTACTCCAATATTGTAATTGAAATTGAAGTGATAGACCTATTTCTTGTTAATTTATTTTTATGAAGAAAAAAAAAAGTCTTGTGTCTCACCTCAGCGACGGATTTCTTGCAGAATGCGTTGAGATTAGAGTTTAATTACTTGGAAAATGTATTTATATATAATTACTAAATGTATATTATAAAATACATTTATTATAACTAGATTGAATCTTCTTTTAGTGATTGTATTATTCATGTAAACGTTTCTTAAAAGTTTTATAAAAATTGCAATCCGTTTACGTTTCACAGAGATGAAAGTTTGAAGAGATGCGAGCTCGAAAAGAATACTAAATTCTTGAAGTTTATAGTCAGGTTTATCCTTGGCTTAAATCAAGATTTCTAACACTTTTTCCTCCGGCTTTAGATGGATTAAGTAATTGCATCAATAACGTTACAATTAACTCAAAGAAAGAAGAAAAAAACATAGACAAATAACTAATAAGTCATAAAAAGTTTATAATGTTTTGATATATAATTGTGAAATTTAGTATTCAAATTCAAATTTTCAGAGACTTTTGATGAATTCCATAATTTTTAAATTGACTTTAGAATTTAGTCTGATTGTTTAATTATTTCAAAAGTTTTTACTCAGTATTGAAAACTGATGATCAATTATCATATTTACTCCGATATTGTAATTGAAATTGAAATGATATTTTTTATGAAGAAAAAGAAAGTCTTGTGTCTCACCACAGCGACGGATTTCTTGCAGAATGCGTTGAGGCTCTGGATCCAGACGTTCAGCAACTCGTTGACAATGACCATATCATTGTAGAGCCACTGAAACACATCGTTAACCCACAGAACACTGACGTTGTCGGAGCCGGTGGTCGTCGGCGCTGGAATGTACTTCTTCTTGGGCTCCGGAGCCGGACTCTGCCTAGTCAGACGTCTCCTCAGTGGAGGAGTAGCCGCTACGGTCCGCGCTCCGCTCCTGACGACAGGAGTCGCGCTGCTCGCCGACGCCTTCGTCGCGTCGACGTCTCCAGAAACGGCAACCTTCGAGTCCACCAGGTCGGCCGTGGTCTTCGCGACGCCGACGGCCGAAGAAACTGCCGCAGGTTCCGTCACCTTATCGATCCTCTTCACGATGAACCTGTTGTAGACGAGCCGTCCCAGCCAGAGCACGAACAGCGCCACCAGGATCCATCCGAATATGAACATCGCCAGAGTGTCCATCGTCGTGTCTCCGCTACCGTCGAAGATGCAAATCAGATCGTCAACAGTCTCGGCCAGATCCATAACGATCCGTCACTCCATCACGTCACGATGGACGTCGTCGACCTCTCAAGGAAAATGCAATAGTTTAGAGCGCAACACCTGAAGAACAACAAAGAGAAATCACAATTACAAACAAACGCACCGAAAAAAAAAAACATAAAGCCGAACCGAGCGAGCACCGAGAGAAAAGTGTGTGTGTGTGTTTGCGCGTCTCGGCGCAGGAAGCTTTCCCCAGTCGCCCAAAAATAATTCCTCTCTCTCTCCCAGATATATCCAAACATTATAAATATAACGCTGCTCTAGTTTTCAGGTATTTTATTTTCCTTATATCTCTCCGACACGTATTCCCACAACAATTTTCCCATCCGAAATTTAGCAACAACATAAAAATAAATTATAATAATAATAATACAAATCAACCAAAGCTAATTTATATAATCACGCACGCACATCCATTAAACTCATTACATACACGTATTAATACATATAAAAGAAACTAAAATTGTATCCGAGTAAGAGCGAACAATATGGTCTATAGTAGTAGATGTGTCGGTTTATTTACAACCTCTTTCTAAAACTTACTTCCTATGCACCTTTTACTCGATCGAACCGTTCTGTTATTGCCCTTTCGCCTCCAACGGAAATCCCTTCTCTGTTTTATTGACAAACTGTAGCAATAACTCTTTCAACGGAGAGCAAAGGTGCGTGCGACTTGTACGACGGTTCGAGTACAAACAACCAAACAAGACTCACTGCAGGAACAACACTAAATCGCCATGACCGATGCAGGACGCATTTAGACTCCGAGTCGATATTCTGTGCCATGGTAGGCGCACCCCACCACCGAGCACTGCAGGCAGCGGCAGAAGTGATTAGCCGAAGGAACGGAACGGAAAAAGCAATAATAATATAGCAGGTTCGCCACACGGAACTGCAGGAAACTTAATGATAATGCAGCTGCTGCTATCATCATTATCGGCTCATTTTATTTTGCATTCAAACGTACCCTTTCTGGGGCAGCCATCCCTTGATCCTTTCGCACTCCTTCCACCTGCGAGATTATCGATTTTCCTCACTTCGAAGGCAGACCATGCGGCGGCGACGCTCTGTGGAAGGAAATAATCGTGCATATTTCATCTTACGTGCTCAAAATATTGATGAACTAATCTTATACTGTTGCATTACAATACACACACACAATCATTCTCTATAAATATGCAACAAAAACACTTTCATTTTATTACTAATATATTTTATAATTAAATTATTTTGTGAAAATTCATGAAACATCTGTTTTTCAAGTGGAATATTTCGAAATTGAAACGACGTTTTGAAAAACTTATATAATTGCCACTTGGGATTTGAAAACTAAACTAATAAAATTCGTTTATTTATTTAGCTTTCTCAAATGTATTCCATACAAAACAAACATTTTTTTTATCTCTCTAAAGTTAAATAAATATGAAAATAAGATGTTACCTATTAAATTCTTGTAGTATAACGTTGAGTGGATAATTGCATCAGAGAAGTTTGTAGCATTTAACGCAGATGCAGCACTTGGAAATGATGAGTTGACGAAAGAACCTAAAATTAAAACATATCAATATACAATCAAGAATGTTTACAATTTCAAGATTTCTTATTGGATTTCTTTTATAGTTTGAAAAAGATGTGCTAATCTTATTTTTTTTTTACAAATAAGTATCTTAAGGAATAAAAATAAAACTGAAGTGAATCATTATTATGTCATGCTTTCTTTTAATAAATCAATAACGTCATCTGTCAAGTCAGCATTAATCGAAGGGTGTGACCCTTAACGTCTCCACTGCGTCGATCAAATAATCATAGTACATATTCAAAACTAAGTAAATTAACACTAATTATCATTAATTAACTTATGTCATATTTAAAACGTCAAAATAGTGGTTAAAATTCAGATGACAGATAAAGATGAGAATTAAATTGTGACGTTTATAATTTCAAAAGTAATTGTAACCCATAACATTTTGACATTTTTAATAAATCAATAACGTAATCTGTCAAACCAGTACTAATGGAAGGGTGTAACCCTTAACGTGTCCACTGCATCGATTTAATAATCATCATACATATTCAAAACTATGTAAATGAAAAATCATTATAAGTAATTACCTCATTTCATGTTTAAAACGTCAAAAATATTTAGGTTAAAATCCAGAAGACAGCTAAAAATGAGATTTAAATTTTGACGTTTATATTTTCAAAACTAATTGTAACCTATAACTATTTGACTTTTCATTCGATAATCGATATTAATAACAAGGAAAACTCACTTAGATTGAAGATGATTAAAGTATATACGTATAGGATATACAATATCTAAAGTATATTAAAATCGATTATACCATTAAAACAATTTCAAATCTGTTAATCAACTGTCAAATTGCATTTGTTTTGCACCAAACTATATGTACACTATTGTGTACTACTTATTGATCAAAACTTGTATTATATCTGCGTATTACTTAATTAATTGATTTCATATTTAGAAAGTCAGAAAGATATAGGTTAAAATCCTGATGACAGCTAAAGAAGATATTTAAATTTTGACGTTTATATTTTCAAAACTAATTGTAACCTATAACTCTTTGACATTTCATTGGATAATCGATATTAATAACAAGGAAAACTCACTTAGGTTGAAGATGATTAAAGTATATACGTATAGGAAATACAATATCTAAAGTATATTGAAATCTTTACTACCTGTGATATAATTATATCATTAAAACAAATACAAAACTATAAATGATACTGTCAAAATTACATTTGTTTTGCACCAAACTTCATTCATAAAAATTACTAATAATCTTTAAATGTGTACTATTTACTAATTGCAATTTGTATTATATCTACTTTTTTTATCTATTGAATCAAATAATGTTATCATCGTGTATTACTCATTAGGATAAAAATAACAATCAAATTAGTAATGAATAAAATTACAAATTTTAAATTAAAAAAAAATTGACATTGACAAATAATTTGAATTTTGAATTAATTAAATTGAATAATTCGTTATTAATACATTAATTGATATTAGAAACACCTATTTTTAGATTATACTTAAGTGAATTAAAATGTAATTTTTAAATAACACAAACGTCCACGTCATCCTATGTTTTCGTGACATTAAAAAAAAAATATTAATAATAATAATATCACCCCGAATTAAGGAAATGAATAAATTTGAGATCTATTTTCGGACGATGATGATCGTATATGTCGCGTGTCGTAATTCCATTTACAAAAACGAGTAAAGGAAATAAATAAATACAAATTACGTCATCTCTGGTTTGCTCGATTGATCGCAGGATGAGAGCACGAGGACGACTACAAAAGCTTTGCAAATGCAATTAAAAACGTTCCAGAGGAGACGTGGGTGCAGAGATATATTACCGAATTCCTGAAGAAACAAGTAGGCATAAATGTAATAAATAAAATATTCGGTGTTACGTAACGTTCTCAATCGAAATATGTATATTGTACAGAGTACAGACGCGCGTATTGTATAATCGAAGAAAGTATTTAGGTGTTACGTCACCGTTCAAACTGTTGCAGAAATGTATCTGGTGTAATGTAAAAATTAAAAAAGCTTAATTGTTTTGTTTAAATTGACAAGTTGTTAAATTATATAATAAACCCACTGAATTGACGTCTATCAATTTCTGCAGAAATGTCGCAAATACGTGAATGACATTTTGATTGCAGATGGATGAAATGCGAAAATATCATAAATTAAAGAACTATGATAGATATTATAGTTCGCATATATAATTAAAAACATTGATTAATGATTTGTGCAAAAAAATATATATTAATATTGTCCGATTCTAACGTTATTTAATAACTAAATGGTAACGCTTCTTTTATGACACTTCACTGTTGATGGTTCATTAATGAAATGCTAACAAAATTATTATCGTCTTTATTTTTATTTCAAATACATTTTAATATAAAATCAAATTATACAAAGGAAAAGAACAAAACAAAAACTTATGAAATGTACATGATTCTTGTACAAAATACAATTAATTGTTTTGTTTAAATTGACAAGTTAACTTTGTTAAATTATATAATAAACCCACTGAATTGACGTCTATCAATTTCTGCAGAAATGTCACAATTACGTGAATGACATTTTGATTGCAGATGAATGAAATGTGAAAATATCATAAATTAAAGAACTATGATAGATATTATAGTTCGCATATATAATTAAAAAGATTGAATTAATGATTTGTGCAAAAAAATATGTATTAATATTGTTTGATTCTAGCGTTATTTAATAATTAAATGGTAACGCTTCTTTTATGACACTTTACTGATGGATGGATGATTAATGAAATGCTAACAAAATTATTATCGTCTTTATTTTTATTTCAAATACATTTTAATATAAAATCAAATTATACAAGGGAAAAGAAAAAGAACAAAACAAAAATTTATTAAATGTACATGATTCTTGTACAAAATACAATTAATTGTTTTGTTTAAATTGACAAGTTAATTTTGTTAAATTATATAATAAATCCACTGAATTGACGTCTATCAATTTCTGCAGAAATGTCACTAATACGTGAATGACATTTTGATTGCAGATGGATGAAATGCGAAAATATCATAAATTAAAGAACTATGACAGATACTATAGTTCACATATATAATTAAAAAGATTGAATTAATGATTTGTGCAAAAAAATATGTGTTAATATTGTTTGATTCTAACGTTATTTAATAACTAAATGGTAACGCTTCTTTTATGACACTTTACTGATGGATGGATGATTAATGAAATGCTAATTGCTTTGCACCAAACTTCATTCATATAAAATTACTAATAACTTTTAAATGTGTACTATTTACTAATTACAACTTGTATTATATCTACCTTTTTTATCTATTGAATCAAATAATGTTATCATCGTGTATTACTCATTAGGATAAAAATAACAATCAAATTAGTAATGAATAAAATTACAAATTTTAAATTAAAAAAAAATTGACATTGACAAATAATTTGAATTTTGAATTAATTAAATTGAATAATTCGTTATTAATACATTAATTGATATTAAAAACACCTATTTTTAGATTATACTTAAGTGAATTAAAATGTAATTTTTAAATAACACAAACGTCCACGTCATCCTATGTTTTCGTGACATTAAAAAAAAAATATTAATAATAATAATATCACCCCGAATTAAGGAAATGAATAAATTTGAGATCTATTTTCGGACGATGATGATCGTATATGTCGCGTGTCGTAATTCCATTTACAAAAACGAGTAAAGGAAATAAATAAATACAAATTACGTCATCTCTGGTTTGCTCGATTGATCGCAGGATGAGAGCACGAGGACGACTACAAAAGCTTTGCAAATGCAATTAAAAACGTTCCAGAGGAGACGTGGGTGCAGAGATATATTACCGAATTCCTGAAGAAACAAGTAGGCATAAATGTAATAAATAAAATATTCGGTGTTACGTAACGTTCTCAATCGAAATATGTATATTGTACAGAGTACAGACGCGCGTATTGTATAATCGAAGAAAGTATTTAGGTGTTACGTCACCGTTCAAACTGTTGCAGAAATGTATCTTGTGTAATGTAAAAATTTAAAAAGTTTAATTGTTTTGTTTAAATTGACAAGTTAATGTTAAATTATATAATAAACCCACTGAATTGACGTCTATCAATTTCTGCAGAAATGTCACAAATACGTGAATGACATTTTGATTGCAGATGGATGAAATGCGAAAATATCATAAATTAAAGAACTATGATAGATATTATAGTTCACATATATAATTAAAAAGATTGAATTAATGATTTGTGCAAAAAAATATGTGTTAATATTGTTTGATTCTAACGTTATTTAATAACTAAATGGTAACGCTTCTTTTATGACACTTTACTGATGGATGGATGATTAATGAAATGCTAACAAAATTATTATCGTCTTTATTTTTATTTCAAATACATTTTAATATAAAATCAAATTATACAAGGGAAAAGAAAAAGAACAAAACAAAAACTTATGAAATGTACATGATTCTTGTACAAAATACA